ACAAGGTCCCGGGAATCAGAGCTTGGGCTTCATGCATTTGGCAAGCACCCTGTCCACTTAGCTATGTACCCAGACCTTCAACCTTTTTTTTTTTTTGAGCTGAGAACCGAACCCAGGGCCTTGAGCTGGCTAGGCAAGCATTCTACCACTGACTTAAATTCCCGACCCCTCATCTTTTTAAATAATATATTTAATGAGGTTTTTTGAGACAAGGTTTCTCTGTGTAGTCCTGGAACTCACTCTGGAGATCAGGCTGGCCTCCAACTAATAGATTCACCTGCCTCTGCCTCCAGGTGCTGGGATTAAAGGTGTGTGCCACCACCACAAAGCTTATATTCTGCATTTATTTACTGTGTGTAGGTGCATGACATGGCACATGTGGAGATCAGAGAACTACTTTCTGGAGTGAGTTCTCTCTTCTACCATGTGGGCTCTAGGGAATCAAAATTATATATATATATTTACACATACATACTAGGCTTGGTATCATCATGCACCCTTACCCAGTGAACCATCTTGGCTGGTCCTCATGTATCCTTTGATATAAGGTACTGGGGATTTTTCTGGTTTGTCGTCAGTTACAATGTTTTCTGCATATTGTGGGATTGCGGGTAGTGGTTCAGCAATGAAATGACCATGACTACAAATTTCATTTGTTTATTTGTATTCTGACATACAAATTCAAACATCGTCTATGACAGCATGGGGGTTGGTTTCAAGGACATGAGTCCCTTGAAGTGCTTGGTGGAAAACAGCAAAGAACAGAAGTAGGGATATGGTTTAGTGGCCCCAAGGAAAGCTGCATCACCAACTGAGCCTTTTGCCCAGCCCGCTGTTTGGGGGGAGCAGGGCCTGTGTATATGTAGTATAATGTCTTAGTCCTTCCACCTTATTTTGAGACTGAGTCTTTCACTGAATGTAGGTCTCTTCACTGTTCTAGCTAGACTGGCTAACTTAAAAGCTCCCAGGGTCCACTCGGCTCCAACCACATCCCAGAGCTGGGTTTACAAGGCATGTGCTAAGATTTTTTTGTTTTTATTTTTTTTTCTGAGACAGGGTTTCTCTATGTAGTCCTGGCTGTCCTGTAACTCACTCTATAGATTAGGCTGGCGTTGAACTCTCAGAGATCCTCCTGGCTCTGCCTCCTAAGTGCTGGGATTAAATGTGTGTACCACCACCTGGCCCAAGATTTTATTTATTATTTTTAAAAGATTTATTTATTCATGTATTTTTACATATATGAGTACTCTGTCTCCATGGACACCAGAAGAGGGAATCAGATCCATTACAGAAATCTGCCTGCCTCTGCCTCCAGAGAGGTGGTATCAAAGGCATGCACCACCATGACCATGCCTGGCAGGAAAATTTTCTTAAAGAAAAAATTTAATAAAATTTGAGCCTAAATTTTTTTTTGGCAACTTTAAAATCCAAAAGTGTTAAGGTTTGGTCACTGGTACATTTTCCTGGACATAACGTCTCATATAACGATTTATTTTCACTAGAGAACGATTTGGTAGGAAGGAAGCTCCCCGTGTGCCTGGCAGATCCCCTTTCATGGACAGCAGGTGCTGCTTCCAGCCACACCCGTGTGTGTGTGTGTGTGTGTGTGTGTGTGTGTGTGTGTGTGTGTGTCCAAAAACTAGAGTTAGAAAATGGCTCTGATTTCCAGTCCCTTTCCCCAGAACTCAGAGACTGTCTTCCTGTTTATCTTGGTGAAATGCCTGTTATACTGGCCCTCTGCATCATATTCAAACAAGATGGTCACATGGGGAAGCCACAGGTCCTTACTCACAATCAGGCATTCTGCTTCTTGAGTAGAAAAGACACTCTGCTAGGAATGTTTAAGGATTTTCAGGATTTAGGGCAAGTATAACATTTTAAGAAACTGAATTTCTCTCAAAGGCAAGTCCTCCTCATGGGCTTCCTGAAAGCCTAGAGTCATTTCCTCCTCTGTGTGTGTTTGTGGACTGGTGCGGGGGCTGAGGAATGCAGGGTGAGGCAGGAGGATCCTGAATTTGAGGCCAGCCTGGGCTACAAAGAGACTGTGCACATGCTCTGCAAACCCTGTCATTCAGCTACACTGCCAAACCTCTTTTAACTTACTAGTTTGAGACTTTGGGTCTAAGTCGTCTAGGCTGACCTTGAACTTGCTCTGTAGCCCAGGCACACACTCTGTAAGCAAGACTTAAAATTTCAATCCTCCTGCCTCAGTCTTTCCACATAGCTGGGTTGACAGGCATATGCCGCTATCACTTCCTGGTTTAAGTCTTCCTTGGGGCTCACTTCCAGCCTTGTGTCTACTTTTGAGTCCCCCATCAGTTCTCTGGTGCTATTGCTTCTTAACTTAGGGGAGCATCCCCCAAGAACAAAGGGTGGCCACTCAGGTAGCCAGTCAGCTGTGGTTCAGGTTGTCACACAGGAGCGGAGATAGTAACACTTCCTTTAATTCTCCCTTCAGTTTCTACCATGGTGCTCTTGATGGGCTGGCCCAAGTATCATCTGAGCAGCAGAGACTCTCCCATGGCACTCCGCTAACCTGTCCAACGGGCCTGATAACACGACTTCCCATTTCAACCAGATTGCTTGACCCACATAAAAATTAAAACTTTTTTTTTTTTTTTTGTATTGACTGCTACCATGGTGGTGGAAATCCAGGCTCAAATCCATGTAACTTAACCCGTGGCATACTCAGTAAGACCTTCCTAGATGAGACTTAGGGCCTAAGTTATTGTGGACCTTTGGACATATTTGAAATGAATATTTTATATTTGACTTTCTACTAACTATATGTTTGTTTTGTGATTCTATATGCCTAATTGCAACAAAAAAGTTAACAGACTTTCTTCTGGAATGTTTGCCTTTTGAGATATACGGGTCTAAAACTTGTTTCACACGGATTGAGATTTCAGGCTGGTGCCACCACACAAAAGCCTTGCCTGACTCTGTAACTGAGAGTCTGAATCTGCCATCTTTAAGTAGAATTAAATAAAAACAGGAGGACATGTAGAGAGGCAAACACTGGCATACCAGGAACCCAATAACGGTAACCTTCTAAGACCCTGTCAGGGCCAGCGGCTCAGCAGGAAAAGGTACTTGCAGCCACAACTGACAGCCTGAGTCTGGTCCTAGAAACACACATGATGGAATAAGAGAACTTACTCCTGAAAGTTGTCCTTTGACCTCCAGACACATGGTGGCCTGGACACACCCACATACGTACATATATACACTAAACAAATAAACTGTAAAAAAAATAAAATAAAATTGTTGGACTAGGGGGGTAACTTTAATACCTACGAATACATAAATTTATAAGACTTGTAACAAATACCCCGTTTGTTGTCGCCTGCGAAGAACATTCCTACTCTTTTGAAGTTAAAATGTGTGCCTACTATAGCAAAAGGAGGCCGAAGAACTCTTTGATTCTACTAGGATTTACTTACTTTTGGGGGGAAAAAGTTCTTGGGGATCAAACCCAGGTCCTAGGCATGTAACAAGGGGCTCGCTGAGCCACACCCCTAGACCTCTTTTTGTGTTTACATTAATTTATGCACAGTCAAATATATGCCCTGAGTACACTACGACAAATACTTGTCCCGGGGATGATAGTCCTGCTGACTGTTTTGGGGGCAAGGTGACTGTGCCCAACTCTGTAGCCCTGGCTGATGTGAAACTTAACCATGTAGAGCAGGTTGGTCCTGAACTGGCAGAGATCTTACTTCCCCCTCCCCAGTGCTCTAATTAAAGGCCAGTCTCCTTGCCCCAGCTCCACCCTTTACTCCTCCTACCAATGACAGGTGGAAACAAAAAGATCTGGCTTGTTGTGTATGTATGTACGTGTTTGAGAATGGGTCTCTCTGTCCTGGAAATCGCTATGTAGACCAGAATGGCCTCAAACTCAGTGATCCTCTTGCCTCTGAGTGCTGATATTAAAGGCGTTCGCCACCACGCCAGGTTCAGGGAGGTTTTAAGATTTCATTAAAAACAAACACAAACAAGTGTGTTCATCTCAATTCCCAACACTGTGGGCAAATAAAAATCAAGATACTGCGCTGGGGTTGACGATAATCACCTTACCATTGTGGCAGGTGAGGCAGGAGAGTCATGTTTGCGGGCTATGGGGGCTACATCTCAAAACAACAAAGACCGTATTAATCCTCGTAATACAGACACTATTGCAAATTCTAATGCGAGATTTTAAGATCGTGTACAGAGTCGTTCACGTAATAACGCTCTTGAGAGCTTCAGGCCTGAATGCGGATCTGGAATCGAGCCCTGATTACCTTACTTAACCCGGGAGGTCTCGAACCGGAACCGGGAAAAATCTCAGAGTTTAAGGACGCCAGAAAACCAAAACCAAACAAAGCCAAACCAGAACCTGGCCCGGGGGTTTCAGTAGTCGGTCCCTAAGCGGGCTGCCAGGGAGGGCGCGGGGGCGGGGGGGGGCTTTGTTGTGCCCTCTGCGGCCTCCGGGGAGCTGCAGACCGGGAGCGCGCCGTAGCCTGCCGGGAGCACGGAGCGGCCCGGCGGGAGGTCTGAGCTTCCGTTTCCTCCTCTGCAATACCAAGGTGGCCAAGGCCGCCGCGCAGCAGTCCCGGAGCGCTGCCCGCGGGTCCCCGACAGGCAGGTGGAGGCGCGCGCGCGCGCGCGCGGAGACGGCCACGCGCGCCCCGGGCGGAGCCGCGAGGCGGAGGGGAGGGCGGAGGAAGCGGCGCGCCCGCCCGCTAGGCCCGGCCCGCCGCGTGCGCGCGGCCCCCGCCCTCTCCGCCCGCGCGCCGGGTCGCCGGGGCCGTGGTGTACGTGCAGCGCGCGCGGAGCGAGTGGCGCCCGCAGGCCCGCGCCCTGCCTGCCCGCCCCGACGCAGCCGGCTGGGCCCGCCCGCCCAGGGCGCCGAGCGCCGCGCAGGCCGCGCTCTCTCCGGCGCGATGCGGCGCTAGGCGGCCCCGGGCGAGGCAGGCGAGGCCAGGGAGCGCGCGGCCTCCCTCAGCGGGCGGCGGCCCCGGGTGGGCGCCCCGACGGCCCCGCCGCCGCCCCGCTCCCGGCCCGCGGCCCGCCCTGACGCGGCCATGGCCAGTGACAGCGGCGGGCCCGGCGTGCTGAGCGCTAGCGAGCGCGACCGGCAGTATTGCGAGCTGTGCGGGAAGATGGAGAACCTGCTGCGCTGTGGCCGCTGCCGCAACTCCTTCTACTGCTGTAAGGAACACCAGCGCCAGGACTGGAAGAAGCACAAGCTAGTGTGCCAGGGCGGCGAGGCCCCCCGCGCGCAGCCCGCGCCGGCGCAGCCCCGCGTCGCGCCCCCGCCCGGTGGTGGGGCCCCCGGAGCCGCGCGCGCCGGCGGGGCGGCCCGGCGCGGGGACAGCGCGGCGGCCTCGAGCGCCCCGGGCCCTGAGGACGCAGCACAGGCCCGGAGTGGTCCTGGCCCGGCAGAGCCCGGCTCCGAGGATCCTCCGGCTAGCAGGTCTCCGGGCCCGGAGCGTGCCAGCCTGTGCCCAGCAGGCGGCGGCCCCGGGGAGGCGCTGAGTCCCAGCGGTGGGCTGCGGCCCAACGGGCAGACCAAGCCGCTGCCGGCGCTGAAGCTGGCGCTGGAGTACATCGTGCCGTGCATGAACAAGCACGGTATCTGTGTAGTGGACGACTTCCTGGGCAAGGAGACCGGGCAGCAGATCGGCGACGAGGTGCGCGCCCTCCACGACACCGGCAAGTTCACGGACGGGCAGCTGGTCAGCCAGAAGAGTGACTCTTCCAAGGACATCCGGGGGGACCAGATCACCTGGATCGAGGGCAAGGAGCCCGGCTGCGAGACCATCGGCCTGCTCATGAGCAGCATGGACGACCTGATCCGCCACTGCAGCGGGAAGCTGGGCAACTACAGGATAAACGGTCGAACGAAAGTAAGTGGCTGGGGCTCGCGCCCGAAGGAGGAGGGTCTGTGAGGACCACCCCTTCGCCCCCACAGACCTGGGGCGGGCGCTCCGCGTTCGCGTGGTTTCTTTTGTCCCTGTAGTATACTCTTCGCCACAGTTCAGACACTGCTGGAGCCCTGGTCACTAATGGGGGGCATTGGGGTACCGGCTACATCGGGTGTGGGTGGTGCATCTTGCCTGCGTGCCTGAGCTAGTTGAAAGCCCCGCGGTTTTCAGCGCACACCCGGCTCTCATTGAGAGCCAGACACTGCGTGTGTTTAGCTGGGAGTTTTGTCAGCTGCCCCGAGAAAGGCCCATTTAAAAGCCTGTGGTCGGAAGACTCCCTGTATTCAGGAAAAGCTTGACGGCCCGCTCCCCCTCCCCCTTGTAGCTTTATCTTGCTGGCTGTCCCTACTGTTTTGAAACCCACTACCAAACCGGGAAAGAGGGGTTTCCGTTCCCAGGGCTCATAGTAGGTAGGTTACACTCAGAGCACAGGTTTCCTCTATTCGCTTTGTTAACGTGATCCTTCTCTTGAAAAAGAGCTGTTTTTGTGGCTTCCTGGGGTGTTTTTTTTTTTTCTTAAACAAAACCCACACGGAGTTGGAGGTCGGAGGGCTCCTTTTAACCTTAGGTTTGGTGGGATTTTTTTTTCTTTCTTACTGTGGCAGTTGCTTCCAGTCTGCTCCTCCCTCCCTCCTGTGGCAGACAGCGGCTCTCCACTTTTCCTTCCCAAATCTGAATCTTTTCTTTGATTTACCCGCTAGGGCCAACCTGATCCACCCTCCCACTCCAGTTAGAGCTTTGAGAGGTTTTGGAAAACCCCGACACACAAGTTTGTACACACAGCCTCTTCCTAGTAATTATTCCTTGTATCGGTTTCGAACTATGCTGACAGCCATATGGGACTGTCAGACTGAGCATGTTTGAGAGGGAAAAATACAATAAATATAACGAGAAGGCAATTTACAGCTTTCTAGCTCCATACTGGATGAGGGCACCTGTCTTAATAGCAAGTGAGCTCAAGAAAAAGTTGCCTAAAATTAAGCTTCATGCTGGGGATGTAGGTCAGTTGATAGAGTGTTTGTCTAGCATGCAGAGAACCCCGAGTTTGGTCCCCAGCAACATGCAAACCATGCCGCACTGCTGTGATCCCAGTTCTCTGGAGTTGAAGGCAGAAAGATCAGAAGTTTATGGTTATCTCTGCTACATCTCCAGTTCCAGGCCAGCCTGGGGTACGGGAGCTCTGTCTCTGATAGTCCAGTAAAATAAAACTGGGAAGAAGGTGGACGTCTGATTGGATCTCAGTTTGGGGTTTCTGTGAGATTTTCACTTATATTTAAAGACAAAGGCTGTCCTGGGCCCCACCTGAATATCCCTGTCACTCCAAGAAAGAGCTACTGTTGGGGGGACAGTCTGCAATAAGTCTGAGTGAGAGGCACAAGGAAGATGGTTTCCTCGGTCTCTCTGGATCTGCTTGCCTTAGGTGAGGAAATAGCAAGCCTGTTCGGAGGGAAGAGCCAACCGACAGCCTGGCTCTGAGGGCAGCGGCTCTCCTGGGAAGCTGTTGGGAAATAGACACCTCTTTCCTCATGGGTTAAAGTGGCCGAAGGAAACGGTGCTGATTTAAGTCACTTGACTGGAGGTCTTACCACGAGCGAAGGACGATACCTGGTAGCAGGGAGCACGGGGCTTACACTCTGAATTTGAGCTTACGCTTCTCATTCATTGCAGGGATACGGTTTCGGGGTCTATGAATGGTCTTAAGGACTTCCTTTCATTGACCCTCACATTTTAAAAATTGTATTTATTACTTACTTATTGTGTGCGTCGGTTAGAGGACAGCTTTCTGTAATTGATTCTCCTACCAAGTGGGTCCTGGGGATGGAACTTCTGTTATCATACTTGGCACAAGAACCTGTACTTGCTGAGCCATCACACTAGCCCCTTATTGAACTTTTTGGCTAAAAAAATTGGGCAGTCATGTTTGAATATATAACTTAAGTATTTCTTTAAAAAACCAAAAACACTGCTTTTGAGCATGCAGACACCAATTGTACACTCCTCCCAAATACTCAGCAAGTCGGCTGCATCAGGCTGCAGACTAGTCTCTGCACAGGACTGTCACAGTGATGGCAGTGTTGGGCAATGAGTAGCATCCCTGACTTAGATTTGGGGTAAAGGTCAGCTCATGGCAGACCAGGGCCCACCACTCAGGCAGACCTGGCTCAGGTTCACGCTAGACTTGGAGCGTATGTTTTCCTGCTGTACTGGATGTAGGAGACATCAGGTGAGAAGGTGTTTCCTCACTGAGCATATGGCTGGAACCCCAGTTCTGATAGGTGACATTTCTGTTGATGGTGAAGGGAGTACGTCATGGCACTCTGGGTCCGGCTATGTGAACTTTTTGACTATTCAGTGTTTACTTCATATACTTAAAAGCGGCCGTGTGTTTAGCCTCATTCTGACAACCCCTACGAGATAGACTTGAGAGTATAACACTTTTAAGAGTGTAACTTTTAAGTCTGTCTCATAGGGGTTGTCAGAAGGAGGCTGTAATATTTGCTTGCCTTCGGGAATGTCTTTGTGTTTGTACTGTGAGAGCGGTGTTAAGCTTCCTTTCAGTGTGTTTCTCACTTTGGCTTTTGAAGCGGTAGCAGGTTGTCAGTGCCTGATCCCCACCCCTAGGTTAGATGAGTGAGGTTGAGGGATATCCTTCTCTTACTGGAAGTCCTGTAAGATACTAGGATTATTATTATTATTATTGTTGTTGTTGTTGTTTAGTTTCTCAAGACAGGGTTTCTCTGTATAGCCGTGGCTGTCCTGGAACTCACTTTGTAGACCAGGCTGGCTTCGAACTCATGGAGATCCGCCTGTCTCTGCCTCCCGAGTGCTGGGATTAAAGGCGTGCGCCACCACCTCCTGATTATTTATTTATTTGATGTGTATGAGTGTTTTGCCTGCGTGTGTTTGTCTGTGCACCACTTATGAACAGAGGCCAGAAGAGGGCCTTGGATCCCTTGGAACTGGAGTTACAGACAGTTGTTAGCCACTGTGCTGGGAATTGACCCGGGTCCTCTAGAAGAGCGGCCAGTGAGTAATCACTGAGCCGTCTCTCCAACTCCCAGATACCAGTATTTAAGTCAGGTCTTCCAGCTAAGCTCTGCGTTCTCTGTCACTTACATCATGTACGTGTATGTCAGTTGACTTCTCCAGTGTCTGCCTCAGACATGCGCATCTGGCCACTGCTTAGCCACCCACTTGAAAAGAGGAACCCCCAAGGGAAGATGAAGTAATACAGGAGAAAACCAGAAACGTGATTGTCGCCACTGATGTAAGCCAGCTCTCGTCTCCGCTCTCTCTGGGATCCTCGCCCTGTCCTCGCCCTTCAGCTTCCCTTTAACCTCTTACCCTTTCTCACATCCTTCCTTCCATCAGGAAGGCTCATGGTGACGTCAGCAGCAAGGAGCCACAGTCTTCCCCTTGTACAGAGCAATGTCTGAGCGCTCTCAGAAGCCACAGGCGCTTTCACTGGGTAGAGAGAGGTGGTGTAGAGGAATGGGACCTGGGGAGCATTGTATTCATCTGCTGCCATTTTTTCTGAAGGAGAATGTTCTCATTAAAATTATTGCAACACCAGGTGTGGTGGTGCATGCCTTTAATCCCAGCACTTGGAAGGCAGAGACAGGTATATTTCTGAGTTCAAGGCCAGCCAGGGCTACATAGTGAGACTTTGTCTCAAAAAAAAAAAAAAAAAAAAAAAAAGGCTGAGGCAGGAGAATAGTGAGTCTGAGCCTGAGTTGCACAGAGATAACCTGTGTCCAAAAAAACCACAAAACAAACCACTAAAAAGTGGAATTACTAGAATTACAACATGTATAATGTTTTTAAATTTAATTCCAAATTTCCTGTGTTCATTTAAGAACATATATAAGGAAAAGATGTCGGGGATACTGATCAGCAGCAGAGCACATGCCTGGTGTGTGAAGGCACCCGGGTTCAGTCCCCAGCACTGCAAAGGAGAGAGAGATAATGAGTAATGGGATGAGAGAAACAAGCACCTTATACTACTCAGATTTTTCTAGTGCTGCAGTTAATTAGTCAGCTCTGGAGGGCTTTGAGAGCAAAGAATAGGATGAGGACGATCCTGCTGCTTTATTGCGGCTGCCATAGAGAGAGGTGGCAATCCTCTTAGATGATAAACCCTGCAGTGAGAGGCAGAGGCAGCCCGGGACTGTGCTGCACTGGATTCAGACTAAAGCCTCCTGACCTGTGAGAAGCAAATCTCCTGTTCGTAAGCCTAAAAAGAACAGAACCAGACAGCTTCCGTCCCTCGCCACTTCTGCCTGCCTCACTTTCCTCCTGGAACAGCGATTTTCAACCTACCTACTGCTGCTGCCCTTTAATATGTTCCTCACATTGTGGTGAGTTCCTCCTCCACAAGCCATAAAATTATTTTGTTGTTACTTCATGACTCTAATTTTGCTGCTGTTATGAATCATAATGTAAATATCTGATATGCAGGATATCCGACATGTGACGCCCAGGTTGAGAACTGCTGTCCTGGAACCTTGGACATAGAAATGGGAGTAGCCTGCCAGTGGTTGATAGCTGCATCAGCTGGTCCCTGGCAGCTGAGCGGAAGATGTTCCTTAGAGGTTAAGAGGTTACTGTGGGGCCAGGTGTGATGGTGCACATCTTTAAATCCAGCACTTGGGAGGCAGAGGCCGGAGGATCTCTGTGAGTTTGAAACCATCTTGGTCTATAAAGGGAGTTCCAGGCCAACCAGGACCACAGAGTGAGACCTTGTTTCACAAAAACACCTGTAGCATGACTGAGGAAGGAAGGAAGGCATGTGGGTCTTGTGTCCTTGCTGGATCTGGGTGGGATGCCATGTCTGCTGCTGGGACCCCATGATTGGCTGTGCTTTTGGGCTAGTGGCTCAGTGTCCGTGAGCTTCAGTTGGTATTCACAGTACTGCCTGCCTC